GCAATTTACTCTTTCAGTAGATTATCTTAGTTTTGCTGTATGATGAAGGTTGATTCATGACATTAGTTGATGTTAAACTAAACCTACATATGTTCCATGCAATTATAAGGACGAATGTATCTATTCCCATCAATTCTCTATTCTCGATAATCGACTGACTCCTATTTATTTTAGCTAGGATCTAAGTATGATTTATGTTCTTTGGATCGGGTTATGCATGAAATTGCTTGAGCGGAGTGGTTTAGGAAGCTTCAACCAGTATAGGATATATATATCATATAAGAATATGAGGAAACTCAGAGTAATTGTCTAGCCACTAACGGAATTTTGTGATGTGTAAGTGGTAAGGAGGTAGTGCGTTGTGGTGGAAGAGAACAAATGGACGAGCAGATCAAGCGACCAGGTGGGATGATGCGTAAAGGAGAGGAATACCAAGAGGTTGGAAGACGACCGGGCGTTTTATGCGCGCCAGAAGACGGTAATTCACGGCAAAATTAGCAGGTAAAAGCTGATAACGCGTCCGTTTCATCGAGTAATAGGCGTCTTAAACAATAGCGTGCCTCAGTTATTATGAGGCCGTTAGTATAAATCTAATATTTATTGATCATTTTAACAAGGGGGGGAGAGGGTTAAATGGATGTGGCACCCAAACCAGCGCTACGAGATATTTAGGCATCCACCTAAGTTCACAATAATGTAGGACTTTTAACAGTGAGACAATAAATTATTGATTTTTATTTGGTTAGCATTGTCTAGTGGCAGTTTAGATTAACAAATGTAAATAGTGGTTATACCCTTAAGCCAAGGGATAAATAACTCGACGGGAGTTATAATGAATTAGAAATAAATCAAAATAGATATATCCGATGGCACGTTTGAATTTAAGGTTACATAAAGTGGAGAGGACATACCAATATCATTTGAACTGTGCGCCAAGTTTTATAATTGTACATTAATTGGTTGAATGTTGACATTGTGTTTTGAAATGGGAGGTGGGCAATCTAAATTTGATTTTGATCGCCCGATCGATGGGCTGTGTTATTGTTTTGTAATATAAATTGTGATATTTAAACAGTAGATAGTCATATTTTAGGGGAGTTATGCCGGAAATTTCGACTAGAACCTGATTAATTTTTTAATAATATAATAAAAAAGCTATTTAGATTAATCTATAATTTGTACTATAATAATAAAGGGCTCTTAATTATTATTATTATCATTATTAATCATTTAATTATTAATTTATTATATTCATATTATTGTTTATTACTATTATTTTTTATATGTGTTATTGTTAATGCTACTTATGTATTTATTCTGCAGTTGGTTTTGGATGTCTACAATTTGCATTGCATTACGATGTCTTAATGTATTACATGCTTCTGCTGCCCCATTTGTGATTGCATAGTGAATTGGATAATTTTCTGTGTTTAAAAATTGCCTATGCTTTTTGTGCATGTGAATGTGCATTGAAGATTGCGCCACTGGTGAAGGAATCGGTGTAACATCGTAATCAATGCACAATTTAGACCTCCAAAACCAACGCGATAAATAAATAAGTTAGCATTAACAATAACAACAATAAAAAATAAATAATAGTAATAAACAATAATAATGAAAATAAATAAATAATAATGAAATAATTAAATGATTAATAATGATAATAAATAAATAATTAGAGCCCTTTATTATTATGTATCACAATTACTAGATTATCTAATAAAGCTGTGGGTATTTATTTGTTTTAATTAAAAATTAACTCTTAGGTTCTAGCGAAAATTTCTGGCATACCTCCCCTAAAAATCATTGACTATCTACCTGTTTAATATCACAATAATGTTATGTATTATTATCAAAATACACCACAGCCCATTCCGTCGGGCAATCAATCAATTTAATGGCCACCTCCTTTCAAAACAAACCATGTCAACATTCACCAATGAATTTACCCAAATTAAGTAAAACCGTCCAAACATGTTCAATGATATTGTTATTGTCCTCTAACTAATATTTTCAAATAATGTACCACTTTTATAAATAAAACGGAACTTGCATCGATAAATTAAATTCAACTATTCTCGTTTGATAGTTACTTAGCCTCTATTCATTATAAACTCCCCGTCGAGCCTTTACTTCATCATCCTTGCTTAAGTTATAAACCACATATATTTATACATTTGTTAAAATTCTAAACTAGCCACTAAGAATCAATGCTAACCTAAATAAAAATTCAATTACAGTTATTGTCATCCCAATCTATAGTTCATATTTCTTTGTCAATCACATCATTAAACCTTATCAACAACATTGTCAAATACGAATCAGAAATATATAGCATTAATATAAACTCATTTAGCAAAACTCATAAAATCTTACCACTAGCCCCTGCCAAGCTAAAGAAATCAGATTTCTGAATGTAGCCTGTACATTACAGGCCAATGAACTCCTTTCTCAACAAGAACTTAGTTGATAATATCCTAAATCATATATCAAAGCAATAACTTAAACAAATGGTTAGATTAGCAGGAACTTAATTTGATAATCATTCCTAAATCTCATATCAAGGCATTAACTTAAAAACAACATGGTTTAGGATTAGCTGACTGCCATATAGAATTTTCTTCTAAACCTTAAAAAAAAACTCGTAATAACCAAATCATGTCTTCACCTAATTTCACATTCTATTTCAGTTTGTTGCCTTATGAACCAATTAAATCTGAGGTTTCCTCATATCTTCATTATATATATATATAATCACAAGTGTACCTTTTACTGAAGTTCTACTGTCTGGTTCAATGTCTCATTGCGCACTATACACGAAAAATATAATATACCTTGGATTGAAGCTTACTGCTGCCATTCTCATGCTATATCGAATTCCAAGCTATAAATCATCTTATTCATCCTAATATATTCAGTAGATTGATCTATAACTTAAATTAGATTGAAGAATCACATTCTCCTTAATAAAATTACATGAACAGTAGTAGTTAGGGATTTAGTTCTAACACCAACTTAATTCATGAATCAAATCCTTCATCATTCAGCAAGAACTCATAAATTCTACTGAAGAAGGTCAAAATTTGGCTTACCCAGTAGAAAGTGTCGCTGCTAGTTCAGTCGAAAGTGAAGGAGGTAGTGGTCGAAGAAACTCATAAATTCTAAGGATAATTGTCGCCAGAAAAATGAAGAAACAGGACTAGTTGCGCTACTGTCCGTTCGGAACGCAACCGCAGTTCCTTGCGTTTGCTGTGCCAGCAGGTGAACGGCAATGGAGAGGAAGAGTGTGAAGTTGCGCCGTCGTTCAGACCGCCTGGAGCCGTCGGAGAGCCGAGGAGGATACTGCGACGCGGGAGCCGCCGGAGAGCGAGGAGGATACTGCGACGCGGTTCGATCGAGGCAAGGTCGCCAACTCTTCCTTGCGACTGTTTGCTTTCTCTAGAAACGAACGAGAGAGGGAGGATGAGGCCGGAGCTTGCCTGCGCAAGGAGGCGGACGGCAAGGCGTCTGGCGCTGGTCTCCGGTGATCGAAAAACGAGAGGAGCAGAGGCCAGGGTGAGATCGCGCGCCGAAGAAGAGGGGAAAAAGAAAAAAAAAAAAAAAAAAAATAAAAAAAAAAAAGAAAGAAAAAAAAAAAAGAGGAGCGTTTCTAGAGAGTTCGAAGGCCATTTCCGGTTCTATTCGAACGCGATTTTGTCCCAAATACAATGGTTTGACCTATTAACTGTTCTCAAATCCGAAAATTCCGACAATATACTTGGGCTTGGGCCCAACTCGCAAATTTTGGACTGCAATTAAGATTGGTTTTGGTGTTTATAGGCCCAAATAGTTTGAAAATCAAGATTTTTTATTTAATAAAAAATTCGAAATTTTCAAAAATAAAGAATTCGGCCTGTTTGTTTGGTGTTTATAGCCCAAATAGTTGAAAATCAAGATTTTTTATTTAATAAAAATTCGAAAGTTTCAAAAATAAAAATTCGGGGTATTACAATCATACTATTCTCATAGAAATAAGAAATACATATATATAAAAAAATTGAAATCTTTTATTTAAAAATGACATTGACAGAAAAAAAATTATTTTTTTGATAAAAACTAATCCATTTTTAAATAGGACAAAAAAAAAATATATAATATTGTTCCGAACTTTGTTCTTTTGGAAACTTGCTATATATAAAACTCACAAAGAGTTTAAAATACCAAATATCAATATAGAAACAAATCATATTACCAGACTTCATTGGTATAAGATCACACCCGAATTTGAAGAGATGTGTTTGTTCTCTAATTACAAACACTCAATAATACATCTCTCATTTTGAACTGTCAAAAAAAAAAAAAAAAAAAAAAATAAACAAAAAAAAAACTAAAATTATAAACTAAAAATTTAATTATTATAATAAATTATGATAATTAATGGAGTATTGAAATGTTTAATTATAAATCCTCCACTTACCTATTATCATAACATTTATAAAATTCAATTTACAACCACCTCAGTATATTAAAATTTTAAGAGACTACCATATCAGTTTTCAGAACTTTATTTTTATATCTTTATATTGACAGATAGATATATATAGATAAATAGATATGTAGATATAGATAAAAAGGAAATTTTTTAAACTAGAAAATAAATTTAAAAAATTATTAATGAATTACTTTTTTTTTGAAAATATTAATGGTATCATCAATTTCCTTAATTATTAAGAGTGTTAATGTTTCAATTTCTTTTTTAATATTAAATGAAAAATAATATAATTAATATTTTTTAAAATCAATGGAATTTCACATACTATTGTTTTAAAAACAAATTTATAAATTTGAAAGATATTTTGAAATAAATTGTTTAAATTTGATTATTAATAAAAAATGATAGAATTGAGAAAATCTCTGATGTAGGATTTCTCTCTTCTCTAAAATGGTGGAATTAAAGACAATATAGAATTTATAAAAGATTGCATAGTTTCTGGCCTATTTTTTGTCGACCAAACCAAGAATTAATAAATTCATCCTTCAAAAAATTTCAAAAATTTACAGTTCAATACAAGAATGTACGTTAATATATTAACATTAACCAGTGAAGGAAACCCTACCAAAACCCAAATGACCATCTTCGTACAACTCTAACCAAACCCTCTCTGCCTCAAACCTAGCACTACCCAAATTTCCCTCTTCATTCTCGTAATCACCACCACGCAATATTTTCAAAATTCCATCTTCTACCCTTCCCTTTTTCAAATTCCCATAATCTTCTTCTTCTTCTGCTATTTCTTGATCATCAGCTTCCTCACAACTACTACTGCAACTTTTCTTGGACTGTGATGATCTTTGGTTGATTTCCATGTTTCTTGATCTTATTTTCTTGCTAATTTTTCTCTTTTTGAGTATTTTTTTCAAGCACTTTCTTCCAACCATCCATGGAACTTTAACAAAAGCTAGAGCGAAAAGATTAACCAGAGCACAAGGGCAACAACAGAGAGCTAAACTATCACCTATACACCCAGCTGTGCATGATCTACAATACTTGCCTGAACACTCTACCAGATCCCCACTTTCGTGATCAATGGTGTACCTGCTCTTCCAACTTGTGGGTCCTGTTCTTCTTGAATATTGGGTCCCGTTTTGAGGTGGGTTCTCCTTCAACATTGATCTATATATGATCAGTGTATATTAATATATATATCCTCTGCAAATTAAACATAGAAGAAGAATTAAGAAATGGGTTGATGACCGTTTCTGTATGTGCTTATATAAGTTGATCGGTCAGTGCGCTCAAGCTTTTCAACTATAAATTCCATGTCAATAATAGGACAGGACTCCTTAAAGTCATGCCCAAGGAAAATATATATAATTTAAAGAAAAAAAATTCTGGTTCATTTCTGTAATCTGTAATATATAATTGGAAATGGATGGGTGAAATTGCCAAAAGAATAAAAAAATAATTTATTGTTTTTGAAAAATACTTACTTAAATCGGATTCATTGTCTCACTTGCACGCTAACCCAATAAAAATAGAATTTTTTAAAAACTGTTTTTAGTTTATCATTTTTTGTTCTAGTACATGATTAGAAGTATATTCATTTCAATAAAAATTTTATTTTCATTTGTTTATTTGTCTATTGGTTATCGCGAATTCAGTCTAGGCAAGTAAATCTCATTGTTTGTATTAAATTTTTAATTCTATTTAAATTTAAATCTTATTATATTAAGGAATGTATTTAATTGGGTATTAACTCAATTAGAAATCTTAAAAAATAGAGAATATACGTATAAACACAATAAGCAGGTAAAACATGCATAAATAATGTGTAATGTTATGAATAAAATTTAAATAATGGATAATTAGTAAGTGTAAAAAATTTATAAAAATAAAGAATTTCAAATATTAATTTATTGTTAGAATTCACTCATAGTTATTAACCAATAGTAATAAGTAAGCAACTAGTAATCTTAAAGTGCAAAAGGTTGACTGTGCTTTTAAGAAATGTACTATGTTGTTGGTATGTATTTTGGTCTATGGAAAGAACAAAATGACAAAAACAAAACCTACCGCAGGTTTCATGTTATTACAATTCAACAAAACAAGTGGTAGATAGCTTATGGAATCTGAATAAGACTACTCACTAATAAACTCAGTACCCAACCCTGTGAAACTACACTTACTCTTTAATATATTTTTGTGTATAAAATTATTATATTTGTACTATCACTTCATGCCTAATGCCTAATTTGGCATTGCAGCAATTCTTTCACTGCCCCGTTGAAAATGACTGTTTATTCTCAAATCCAGCCTTCAACGTTGTACATAGGGCTGGCCAGTTGAAAATCTGTTTCAATTCATAGAAATGCTAGTTTCAATCTTTCGGAATAAAGGATTTGTTCGACAAAATTAGCTGTTTCGGTAGCATTTAACTGTTAGTTGTTGTTTGATTAGCTTTTCGTGAAATATTAAAAGCTAAATGAGTTAACTTTTCGCAAAATGTCATTTTAACCTCTAAAAACTAATTTAAACGTTATATTACTGAATACTGTAAAAAATAACATTTATCGTTTTGACGGATTAAAACACTAAAAACTACTTAAAAAGTTACCGTTGAATACTACTGATTCTTTGTTCTTATGTATTTGTTTTAATTTTCAAAATTAAAATCGATTAATTGTTCTGCTGATTTAACTAGCTTCGATCGATTTTGATTTCAATTATTAGAAATCAAAATATGTTTTGTTTACACCTATTTTTCAACCACGCAACTCATAAATGATCACTTTTTGCCTATTAAGAGAAAAATATGTATCAAATAAATAATTTGAAATTTCAAAATTAACAAGAATCAAAATCCAAGATTTTATAATTTTCAAATAATTATAATATCACTTAATGGAAAATCATTAGTAATGCTATTTATATTATTATTTTAGTATATATTGTAAGAGGCATTAAATAGGTGGTTTAATACTATTTTCCCTATTAGCTATTACTTGAGAGTGGAGACTGGAGAGAGCAGAGTCTTGCAGTTGCAGAGATAAAAAAAGTCAAGTAGTGCGACTTTGATGGGATTTACCATGCGCAAGCCCAATTAGTAAATACGTGTCGACGTGGTACTGTTCTGGTCTTCTACGATATGACAGAAAGATAAAAAGTGGAGTGGTAAAAAAGTGAAAAGTTCTACTTTTTTTTTTCTTTTTTTTTTTTCAAAAAGTAAGCAATGACCTCTTACTTATTTTTAATTTTTTAACCTCTTATTTATTATATTTTTTTTTTCACATTCGACCATTACGTTTAATTTTTTTCAATTAATATACCGGATTTATTTTTCTTTATCAATTTTGGCCCATCTAGAGCCGCTAATGTTTGCTGATATGGAACTTAGTGGACTGGACTCCAATTTTTTGCCACATCACTAGACGTGGATATGCCACGTAACGCGCAAAATCAACCTCTGATTATCGAAATGCCACTATCGAAATACTGCTTTCGAAAGGGATATGTGCTAGCTACATCAATATGTTACTTGTCTGGGGACCAAACACAGTATACTAACCTCAAAGGCCCAGCCCTTCGTAAAACTGTATACAGATGGGCCCCATTTAGAAAAATATCAATAATTATTATTATTATTATTAAGTGAAAAAAAAATAATTTCTTTATACTAATTATTTATCTCTAGAGTGAATTGACCAGGTAAAAGAAAACTTTTAACTGCATCGATCTAAATATCAGTTTTCAATTTCTTTTTCCAGTAAATAAGATGGTTAATTGTTAGAAAAATAAGTTTTAACTTTAATATCAAGGAGAAGTTTTATATTCCAATATTGTGAAATTTACACAGGAAAAGGAGTTTTTTTTTTTTTTTTTTTTTTACGTGGATATCCACGTAACGTCGCAAAATCACCTCTGATTATCGAAAATGCCACTTATCGAAATACTGCTTCGAAAGGATATCTGCTGCTACATTCAATTGTTACCTTGGTCTGGGACCAACACAGTTATAACTAACCTCAAAGGCCCAGCCTTCGTAAAACTGTATACAGAGGGCCCCATTTAGAAAAATAATTCAATAATTATTATTATTATTATTAGTGAAAAAACGAAATCATTTCTTTGCTATACTATTATTATCTCTTTACGAGTGAACTTGACACGGTAAAGAAAACTGTTTAACTGCCATCGATCTAAATATCAGTTTTTCAATTCTTGTTTCCAGTAAATAAGAGGTTAATTGTTTAGAAAAATAAGTTTTTAGATTTAATAATCAAGGAGAGTTTTATATTCCAATATTGTGAAATGTATACACAGGAAAAGGAGTTTTTTCTTTGTTTTTTTTTTCTATATTGAGATTTTTTTTTTTTTTTTTTTTTTATATTAGAAATTTTTAAAGGAGAAAACCCATAAAATTTTGAACTTTTTAATCTTTTATAATAAATATAAAGTATATATTCAACTATTGAACTATTGAACCATGCACAAGAAAAGAAAACTAACCAATTATACAGTTCTTCAAGAAAAAGAAACATGCAATGCAATGTACTGTTTACCCAGTAATCAAGAAATTAATATTGGCAAAATGTAACTAGAACAGAGCAAAAAGAAAACTCACCTTATAGTCTCAATCCACTTGTAAAGAATCTTGAAATGAGCTAATCTCTGAATGCACCTCCAACAGCAGCAGAAGAACCCGTGCATGCATTTGAAGAAAAACCAGAAGAATCAGAAAGTTTCTGGTAACCCTTTGCTTTCGATTGTAAGAGAAGTGCATAAATGAGAGTAAATGAAGAAACAAGAGCAAGCTTGATCTGATCTATTATATACTAATACTATTTATATAGTGTAAGAGAAAGAGGAATCAGTTAGAATATATTTTAATCTGTATTGTTTTTAGTAATTTAATGGTAAAACTAAAACTCTTTAATATTAGTTAATTAATTAATAAGAGTAAGCAATTTCTTATTAGTAAAATGTCTGGCAAAAGAAGATAAAATATTATTAGAGGGATCAGAATCAGATGGGCATGGTTTCATTTGTTGAGTTCCAATGCTAAAGAGCGAATATAGGAAATTGTCTCTCTTTCTCTCTTTCTTTCTTCACTCAATACCCTCTTCTCTTTTCCATTACTTTGATGTCTGTTTTCTTTTTACTTTGCATGAATCATGCACGTGAGAGGGGACGGTGAACACGTGCAGACTCGTATTTTTTTTCATTTTTTATTTTATTTTTACCAAGGAGTCAAAAGGACCAATATTATTATGACCATGGCCTTGTCAGTGTGCTATGTGGATCTATTAATTTTAAATTATTTTAATTTGAAAAAAAATGCAACTTTTCAAAATTCGAGGTTGATTAGGGTTTTGATTATGTATTGTTAATTATATACCAAAGTTTGATCTGGTAATCTTTCTCCAATTGCATTTAATCATGTATTTTCTTAAATAAATCTGTTTAGGAATCATGAAGCTTGGTAGTTAAACGTTGAAAGAATCCAGCTTTTCATCCCCTTTTTATTTATAAATAATGAAACTTTATTGATAGATTATAATAAAGATTTTGGAGAACCATTCATTGCACTAGATAGATCAATGGAACCATTTATGCAAGTCGGAACGACCGTGGCGAACGGATCCATTTAAAGTTTTAATATCCCAGAATACCTCTGGGGTAGAATATAGGTAAAAGTATTCTCTCTCGAATATTAAAAAAAAACTCTATATTCAGAAACTCGAAACATCTTGCTAAGAAGAAGGGATACTTCCCATCATATCTTGTTATACTATTGAGGTGTAGAAAATTTTATTAAAAGAGGGATAATACAAGACTTGCAAGAAGCAGATGCTAATGAAAGATTCAATTGATCTTTCTAATACTCTTCACTGTAATTTGCTGTCCACCAAATTACCCTAATGTCCTATATGATATGTATATTGGGCCTATTCTCTGTGTCATAGCTTTCAATCAGTGGACAATCTATTTAAAGGCCTATAACAAAGTCCAATGAAATAGAGGGCTATAAAATATTACTAGGCCCAACTTCTCTATATTGGCCCATCAGAAACCAAAACCCAAAAAAGCCCGAAAAGAATCTATAAAAGCTGCCAATAACCCTCTCTTTCAATTCACCTCTCTTTCAAAACCCTAATTGGAGCAGAGCCGCTCTCTGCTATTTTCTTTCTTGTTTCGTCTGTTCTTGATCTATGGCGGTCAGTCCTTTATGTACCTTTTATTTCTTAGGAATTGCTTTTGTGTTGTTTTAATGAGTAAATAGGGCAAAGATGAAGAGTGCTGTATAAATTCTGACACCTCTTGTATGAGGGGAGCTTGTTTTCAGGCTCTTCTTTGAGCACAGACAGCAACTCTCTGAGCCTTTTCCATTTTTTCTAATTATTATTTTTTTTCTTTTTTCAAAATCAATTTTTATTGCTGAATTCAACAGGACATTGATTTCTGTTTTTCACCCATTTGATAATAGGATTAACTAAAAAAAATCAGATAGGAAATGTTTTATGTGAGTCTGATTGCATCTAATGTTGAATAAATTAAAAAGTTCAAATCGAATATTGATGATAGATTTAAAAAAAAAAAAAATTTCAACTAATGTTTATGAGAACTATTTAAATTAGAGTTTCAATTGGTCAGTAATGAGTTTAGTCTAATGTTTATTTAATAATTAGAGGAAATATTTTGCTCTGATTATTTAATCTGATGGTTTTTTGAAAATAAATTTTCTTGGAAAATAATGTCTGACAAATGGTGGTAACCAGCGATTTTCCCTTTTTTTTTTCCCGAGTAGTTTTAATGCATTTTTTTAAAAAATAGCTGCCTAAAGTGTTAAAATATATTTTGTACAGTAGAATATTAATTGTTCAATTTTTCTATTTAAATATCAAAATAGAAAAAAAAATGAAAGTGTTCATAGTTTAATCAAATCTTGATATTTATTGAAATAAATGAATTTCATAAAATTTCATAAAATTTATTTCAGATTTTAATCTATTTTTAATATAAAAAAATAAAGAATTAAATTTTATGATTTGGAATATAATTAAATTAAATTATAACAAATAATTTGAAATTTTCAAATGAATTTTATAAATTAAAACAAATGAAGTTTATAAATTTAAATAAAGTTATTAGAGGAAATAAAAATAAATTAATTTCAAATTTATTCTAAATATAAAAAAATTCATAATTCTACATATATTTCATTCCTAACTAAATTTCACATTTTGATGTTATTTATATTGAAGGAAGCATCACAATATGTTTCAAATTTCAATTACAATTTTGTCCGTTAGATTGGGTACATGTCCCTTGGTGCCTTTGATTTGATTTGATCTATATGGGTGGCTAGTAATTCCCTTCTTACATACTCTGCAACAAAATAAGAATTGGTAATTCCCTTTTTACATACTCTCAAACAACATAAGAGTAAAACAGTGACGTTTAAGTTTCCTAATTCCTAACTTTGATTATAACAAGTGCGAAGTGTTCTTGACATGAGGTTTAAAATTTTTTCATTGGATATCTGAAATCGAGCCGGAACGTAACCAGATGCATTTCCACATATCTTGCTCACAGGCATTCTCACCATTGCAGCCAATTTTTCTGCTTTCTCCTCGCTTTCAATCATGCTATCGTAGTATATGTACCTGCCAAATGCTGTCGTCTTCATTGCCTCAAACACGCACACATGAGCCTCTGCTACTTTCATAACATCTATGGTTGCTAGCAGACCATGTGCAAACATTTCTTGAGCTCCTGCAATTTAATTCACAAAATTTTGTTCAAATTTGACCTAATTACGAAGATGGGCATTTGACTTCTGAACTGTACCTTTTAGATAAGCAATTGTTGCTGTTGGATTTCTATTGAAGAAATCTGGTCCTGTGATGAGGCCTGGACATATAGTGGCCAATTTTAAACCTTTCTCCTTTGCTATTCTCCAGGCTGCCTTCTCTGCTCTTAGCTTACCCAAGGCATGCCATAGCTGCATATTTTAGGTAAAAATTATCAAAATTTGGGCAGATTAAGGTACTCTGTTTAAATTAAATTTTAAAAAGAAAAGAGAACCTTTTTGTCGGTACAAAGTGATTCATCACTCCAAGATTCATGGTTGATTACAGGGGAGAAATCTTGTTTCATGCCATCTCGCCATATACAGGCCAAAAGTGAGGATGTGAGCACACAATGTCTTACTGAGGGTGTTCTTGAACATGCCATCATCACATTTTCACTGGCTCTTACCTCTATTTCAGCCATGGTTTTCTAACACAAAGAAGAACAATTACAGATAAGAGTTATTTATGGAATGACATTATCAACCTAATTCCACATTGAAGTTGTAACTAAGATTATTTACTTATTTACTTCAGAAATGCAATTAGAAGACAGATTGCCTACAAAATCTTTGGATTTTCACAGTAAATTGGGAGGACTAGACCAGCATGAACCAAATTAGGGAACTGAAGGATGAAATTTTACTAGAATTAATATCGCTAATTCTCCATAAACAACATTACTTTCTGAACAAATGTGCATTAATGGAAATAACATATGAGAGTTGGTTGAGAGGGGCTCAATGGTGTGCTCTAGGTCCTGTCCTACTCGATCTCATGGTACTAGATTAATGGTTTATTAATATTATCTGAAATTTTGAAAAAATTAAAGACTATTTATTTATTATATTTCAATTGTTGCAGTTAGATAGCAATGTCCCTAATGAGTAATGACATGACTAGGAATGCAATATTGGTTTTGCATTGTGTAGCGTGGACTAGCCAGGGCCAAGTTTACTCTAATGGTAGTTGGAGCCTCGAAAGCAGTTACGAAATCCCAGAAAATGAAACACTATCAAAAGGGATACAACTAAATTTATTCAGGATACATTTGAATAATTAGTCATTTGAAATGATAGTAAATTTATACTTTCCTTTCAACTCTAAGATCATAAAAATATAATCAGCCGACAAATTCCATTCCAAATATTAAAGTATTTCAATTGACTAGCTATCTAAAATCTGAACGAGTAAATGGACTTCAAAGATGGCTCCTCCTTGAAAAATTTAGTGCCCCACTACCCTCTTAATGATTTTGTGCTCTCAACTACCCAGCAGGATTAAAAGATATCAAGCCGATTAGTAGTAACGATCGAGGCGCAGATGAAAAAGAAAAGTAGCAATGTTGATATTTTAATTGTTCCTCTGTATTCATTACTATTTTCTGTAGAATATAGTTGCTCTTATTCACTTTAATTATCATCAGGTTAAACAACCAATCATAAGTCAAATCCAATCTAACAAGAAAGGAAAAGGAAGCTAAATCAGGAACTTCATTTTAAGGTGCTTAATTAGAAATTTTATGCATAAAACAAAAGAATACTAATGAAATATGCAGCCTCATAGAACTAAGAGATTCACAACTAACAACAGCAAGTGTAATGAAGTGCTTTTTATGAAAGGTCAAGAAAAGGGAACTAGGACTCACAGTATAGCCAGAAAGTCCAGCAGGGTCGGCAAATGCAGAGGTGTGAAAAACGCCACGACAGCCCTCAAATGCTTCCATTAAGCTTTCAATTTCAGTTAGGTTGGCCATAACAGCTTTAATACTACTGTTGCTTGCCCTCATCTCTCCACAGGTTTCTAACTCTCTCAATTTCTCCATGTCCTCTGCATTTCATTTTCCACCAAAACAATCTCAAAATACTATACCATTACATGTTTCTTTATTCCACATAATCTTTCTTTACTCCAAATTTGAAAACAGAATCGATGAGACCTATGTGTATATTTTTATAAACATAGATAAAATTTGCGAGAGAAAAATGAAATTTTGAGATGCTGGTCCCTAGTTTTTACTGCAATTAGGTGATATCATTAATGACTTTTGACATAATCAACGAAATTGAACACTTTTGTACCAATTTATTCTATCTTAACCAAATACAGAACAACTAGGCTTTTTAAAAGAAGATGATGACAAATAAAATAATGCAACACAAACAAACAGCATTTTCCACATTATTCAAATTAAAATAGGGATTTAATAAGAAGCTTTTGTGTATGTCTAATTTGTTTTCTATTTTTTGAAATGGAAAAGACTTACTTACACTCGTGTAGGAGTGTAGGAGACAACCCCATACAACAAATCAACCACATTATTCAAGTTTTACCCTCTTCAAATTAGTGCATACTTAGCTAGCTATGGACAGAACATAATAAAAATGAAAACAAAAACAAAAATTAATATAACCCATCCTGACTAATTTGGGATTAATGCTTAATGTTGTTGTTCTAATTTCTAGTGCATAATCTAAAGTGTAATCACACATTGAACACTAATTTCAAATAATAAATAAATAGTGAACCATGACGTAAGGCTTACCTTACTGTAAGTTAATAACTGAAATCAGAATTTGTAAGAAAAGAATAAAATAAAACAAATTAATTAATAAAAAAATCTGAAAATAAAATTAATCACCTTCAGTATTGACAATAATTTTGACGGAATATCGACGTCGCAATAGGCAGTTAACGACCGCGAGGCCAAGAAAGGAAACTCCACTTGTAACGCAAACTACCTTATTCCGGCCACCGTCTTCATCCATTTCTGTCGACGGAAGACGCAAATCTTTGAATTTATCGTCGTCTTTTCTCCGGCTGAATCCTGCGCACGCTACTAACATGCGCTTCAATTCTTCCATCTCCATTACCCGTCTCTCTTCGGTCTCTATAAAACCCATGTGAAACGACTGACCTTGATAATGGCCTCTAGAATGTTTTGTGTTAATATATTATTATTGCTTATGAGGTAAGCTTTAGAGCAGTGATCCTGCATATATAGACAAAAAGACAGACGGACAGGGAAGGGAAAGGAAAGGAAAAGAATTTAAGAGGAGAAAGGACAATGAATTGTCATGCAGAGAGTGTGTTCGGTTGAATTCTAATTAAAGGTTATCAGATAAAGCATAAGTAAGCAGCTACCTTAAATCACTGAACAACCAAACAAAAAATTGAATCGACCCATTTCGGTTCGGTTTGAGTTCAATTTGCCTGAATCTTATTATTTTTGTAAAGTATACGTATATAGTTTGATTATTTTACTTATACAACTGTCAGTATGTAATTGGTCCCTTAAGGAGAAAAGTCAATATGAGCATTTACTTTAATCTTTAGTGTATATAGTCCAAAAGGACTCCCAAAGATCATTACGTTGTCTATCAAAAGACTTGTCAATAGTATTTTCTCTAGATTTTCTATCATATTTTGATCTCAATCTTCTGTGTAAATAGGTGGCAATAAGAGATTTTCATGGTAATTCCATTTATATCTTTTAGTTGCCTTTTTACAACTTAATTCTTCATTTATTTCTCTTTTCATATAATTGCATCCAAATGTTTTTAATTATTTTGTTGAGATTCTAACTGATTCCGAGTGGGGCCCGTAGAAAAATAACGGTGGTAAAAGTAAAATAAAATTACTATTACCATATATACCTCCAATAATTTTGTTTTAGATATTGACGATCGAATCCACCAGAAATAATAATCACGGTAAAAGTTCTATCAAAAGACTTGTCAATAGTTATTTTTCTCATAGATTTTCTATCATATTTTGAAATCTCAATCTTCTGTGTAAATTAGGTGGCAAAATAAGAAGATGTTTCATGTAAATTCCATTTATCATCTTTTAGTTTTGCCGTTTTACAACTTAAATTCTTCATTTAATTTCTCTTTTCATATAATTCTGCATCCAAAGTTTTTTATATTTTGTTGAGATTTCTAAAACTGATTCGCGAGTGGGGCCCGTAAGAAAAATAACGGTGGTAAAAGTAAGTAAAATAAAATTACTATTACCATATATACCTCCAATAATTTTGTTTTAGATATTGACGATCGAATCCACCAGAAATAATAATCACGGTAAAAAATAAATAATTACCGTAAATGCCAGATAAAAAATAAGGACACCGAGAGTTACGTGGTTCACCCTTCAACTGTTATGGGCTACGTCCACGAGACAAAAACTTTAAATAATTCTTCTACTAAAAATAGTAGGTACAAAAGAGATTACAAAAATAGTGGTACTTTAAGCGTTTAAACAAAAACACCCCAAAAATTACAATCCTCACTATTTTCTCTCTTTCCCAATTTTAGGAACCCTTTCCTAAAATTATAATCTTTGTTTTTGTACATTTGTTTAAGGAGAATAGTAGAAGGGGACGCAGTGGACGCGTTAAACACGCGTCCACTTTTTTTTTTCTTTTCTTTCTTTCTTTGGTTTGGCACCGTCCTCTTTGACTGCCACCAAAACAAAAACCAAAAACAAAACGTGTTTTTAAATTATTTTTTTTTCTTTCATTCAAAACGTGTTGGGTCCCAACATTTGAATCTTCTTCTTTTTTTTTTTTTCTTTTCAAATGTCCTGTGGTTCCACCATGTTGGCGGGACCCCAACAACAATTCCTCTCCTCCCGACTACATGGTGGGGAACTCTCCATCCCTGCCTGGCTTTGACACATAAGCTCGAACTTCTCCTTGGAAACGACCTTTGTCATATATCTGCAGCATTCTGTCTGTGTGTAATCTTTTCGCAACTTGAAACAGCTTCTCTTCAAAATGGCAAGTCTAAGCCAAATGATATCTTACCATCAATGTGCTTCGTTCGTGCAAATGATACAATAGTATTTTTGCTCAAGTTCTAATTGCACTTGAACTAATCACAATAAAACTATAATATTTCTTTCCTGCTGCACACCCAAATTCTTGAAAGAAATCGCTTTAACCAAAGCATTTCCTTTCCTGCTTCCGTTGATGCAGACGTACTCTGCTTCCAAGTCGTTGATAAGAAACACAATTTTTGTAATCTTGAACTGCCATGAAATAGCTTCCCCCTGAGAACGTAATATAAGTACCTGAATGTAGAATTTCCTTTCATTTAAGATCAAATCCGGTCATATCTGCATCTTGTAACGCTAACAAGTGCAGCCTTTTCATTCTCCAAAGTTAAACATAACTTTGAAAGTTCCTCTCAGGTACCTGAAGATCCACTTCATGCTTCCCAATGTTGTCTTTCTGGGGATTTGACAAGAAATCGCTCACAAACGCCAAACTGCATGAGCGATATCTTGGTCTTGTACACACATTGCGTTAATTAAACTTCTGACGCTGAAGAATATGGAACATTTGACATATCCTCCTTGTTTTCTTTCTTTGTTGATGGGTAGGATTTCTTTAACTCAACTTGAAGTAAGCGGCAAGCGAAAGTGCCTAACTGGTTAGCATTCTTCATATTGAACCTCTCCAGAAACTTGCGTTCAACTATATTTTTTCCCTGCGATAACATAAAACCGTGCAGGACTTTCGTCTCGATAATCTCCATTCCGAGAATTCGCCTTGGCCGATCCCAAATCCTTCATGTCAAATGCTTTTTGACAAATCAATTCTTTAAAACTTGCTAATCATGATGTTGCATTGCTGGCCAACGATTAGCATATCATCACATATATAATAAGAGAAGGATGATAAATTTACCATCAGCGAATTTCTGGACATATACACAAGGATCTGCATCTATCCTTTTGTATCCTTGATTCACCATGAAAGAATCAAACTTTTATACCATTATCGCGGTGCTTGTTTCAACCCGTACAAGCTCTTCTTCAAGCGACAAACCATATCCTTTTTTTCCCTTGACCTTGAAACCTTCTGGTTGTTCCATATAGATTTCTTCCTCTAGATCTCCATGCAAGAATGCAGTCTTTACATCAAGCTGCTCCAACTCAAGATTCAAACTGGCTACTAGACCTAGCACAACTCGAATAGAACTCATTTTCACTAACTAGGAAATAGAACTCATTTTCCAACAACTAGTGAAAAAATCTCATCAAAGTCAATACCTTTCTTTTGAAGTAAAGAGGCCTTTGACGACCAAATCCGACTTTGGTATCTACTAAGGTTTGCCATCATCTTTCTTCAGTTTGTACACGCCATTTGTTCCTGAGTGTTCTTCTTCCCTTTTGGAAGTTTCACCCAGCTCATACGTGTCATTCTTTTTCAAAGAATCAATCTCTTCTTGCATGCCGTTTTCTCCAGCAATAATCTATCTTTTGCCAAGAATTGCACCAAATCAATGGAGAAGCTCCTCTGGCTCCCCTCAATACCAGAAAAATTAAATGTAATCAGAACTAGGGTACCTTTGTAGATGGTTGGCGTTCTCTCTCTGGTTGACCTTCTCAACTGAGGTTCAACTCCTTCTGTGAATGGGGTTCTCTGGTCCCCCTGCTCAACACCCTCTGCATTCACTTGTTATCATACTACATAATTGGTTCTCTTGATCCCTAACCAACTGGCCTCTTCTTCTTCCTTCTTGTTTCTGATTCTGGCAATTCCTCCTCCTGTGGCAATCTTCTGTAGGAAATGCTTCCCTGGTGTAAATATTACAAACACCACAACTTGTGGATTCTTCAACAAGTGTTCTCCCCACGATCTCAATTCTCGTGAAATACTACATCTCGCTCCTGACAACTTTCTTTTTCGCTGGTCCCATAACCTATAGCCAAGACTCTTCGTCTCCATAACCAACAAAAGTGCAAGGAACTGAACCTTGTCCATCAAAAAGCTTTGATCTTCTTTGCTCCTTTGGAAACATGCAATGAATGCCCTTGGCAAGCCAAATACCCTCAGGTGAAGAGTAATGAAATATTTTCTACCTGTCCAGACCCTTTCCGGGATATCAAATCCAATGGTGCAATGAAGGTAAGTCGGTTTTGATTTAGGTAGACAACAATATTTAAAACAGTTTCTCCCAAAAATGGCTTAGGTAAGTCTGGCCCATTATTGAGCATGGAATCTGAACTCTTTCAAATAATGGTGGCTGTCAATCCGTTCAGCAATGGCCGTTGTGGTTGAGGCGTACAAGAAACTGTCTTGTTTCAATGCTGAATCGTAACTGGAACTAAAATAATCTCTATAAACTCCTTAGAGATATACTCACCACCATTATCCGTGCGTAAACACTTCAAGACCACTCTAGTCTCCCTTTCCACCATAGCATGGAATTGTTGAAAGTGCTTGAATACTTGGTCTTTTGTGCGCAACAAATATATCCATGTTATCCGTGAGAAATCATCAATTATTGTAAGAAAATACCTACTTCCTCCAAGTGATTCTACCTCCATGGGACCACATAAGTCAGAGTGTACCAACTCCAATTTGTTGTCTCTCCTTTTAGAGCTTTTCAAAAATGAGACCCGATGTTACTTCCCAAATAAACAATAATCACAAGGGTTTATTTTACCTTTGGCTAATGGTATGAAGGACTTCTTAGCCAACATATTCAACCCTTTCTCACTAACGTGCGCCAGCCGCCTATGCCACAAATTTGGTGAAGCATCATCTGCAACTGTATCCCGCACATATTGTTGCGTGCGTCTTATATAGCAAGCAACATAATTTTCCTCTCGCCACCACCAAAGACCTTTTGGTGAGTTTCCAATTACCGCCACCTGTATGATGGTGATAGCCTTCCTTGTCCAGTACACTCACAGACAACAGGTTCAACCAAAGGTCGGGAATATGTCGCACATTTTTACGTGTTAATGTGCACCCGACACTTGTCTTTATGCAGATATCACCAATTCCCACCACTTGCGAGACACTATTATTTCCCATTTTAATAGTGCCAAAGTTTTTAAATAGTGCCAAAAGTCTCCTGCTTTAATAAAGTGGAAAAGTATTTCCTTTTTGGGGAAACACAAGTGGTATGAAGCATCGGAGTCCTACTATCACTCGGTTCTGCATCTCCCTGCGACTCTGCTCATGAGTGCCTAAAGTCACTCACCATCCTTCTCCTGAGACTGTAAGCAGATGTACATTCTCCTGTCTTCGGTCTACATTATCCTGTTTGAGTAAACGACAATTTCTTTTGAGAT